TCACCCATATGTGTGCTAGTCGTTCCCGACTCTAGGGGGCTGTGCTCATCTCCGTTTCAAAGCCAAAGAGCCAGCGCTGTCCCAAGACGTCTCCGTGGTCATGTGGCCGGCATGACTCAACGCCGAAGGCGCACGGGATGCCGTTCCCTTCCCACCAAAGGTGGTTCCTATTTTTCTACTTGCATTTTTCACGTGTTTTCGAACTGCTAGGTTGGCAGAAGCTGGGGCGAGTAACAGGAGCTCACTCCGTTACGTGGTGCTAGGGATTCGAACGGCCAAACTGCCGGCCTTTCTGATTGACAAGCTCAGGGTCTTTAGCCCCCGAGCCACCGCGGAACAGCACAAATGTTTTCAGGAGAAACCTGATCATTCTCAGGGGCGCCATAACTGGACAGTTCTCACCAACCTGATCTCCGTCACATCGGACTTATCCAGCTTCTGCAGCTCCAGCTTGGCGGCCTCTAAGATAGGCATGGCTTCCGCCAGGGCCGTCTCAGCTTCCCGCTTCTCCACCGCGATGACTTTGTTCTGTTCTTCGATCTCCATGGCTTTCTCGACGGCCAGTTTTTTCTTCTCCTCGGCTAAGGAGAGGAAGCAATGGTAGAATGAGCTCCTGGCAAAGAGTTTGGAGGTGGCTAGGATGCTGGTTAACACACACAAAAAATGTTTTTTTAGGACCAGGAGCAAAGGCAACAAGGGACAGGATGATCACTGGTGGCGGGATCCACCCTTGAAATTTGAAATTGGGGGAGCGTGCAAAGCCTAATCAAAGTTCAAGAAAGCAGAGAAGGAAAATCGAGAAATAACTGTGGAATCATGCCCGTGAAATATCCTTGCTTCAGAGTTTTTATGGCATTCTCTTTTCCTAGAGAATGGGTCCCTAATGGGTGGGGGGGGAGTCAAATGAAGAGATGACCAGGAAACACACAACCCCCCACCACCCCGGACTGCTGCAACCAGTAGCAGAGCCAACAAGGCCGTGGCAGGAGATCGTAATGGATTTTATAGTAGAGTTTCCGAAAAGTGGGGGGAATACAGTGATTTGGACTGTAATAGATGTGTTCTCCAAACAGGCGCACTTCATACCCTGCAGCTAACGACCCTCAGATCACCAGCTAGCCAGATTGCTCCTGAAGCATATCTACCGCCTGCATGGAGTAGAATTATCTCAGGCAGAGGGGTCCACTTCATGGCTAAGTTCTGGAGGGAGTTCCTTCGGTCCGTTGGGTCATCCCAGGGCCTTAGTTCGGCTTTTCACCCGAGCACCAATGGAGCGGCAGAGAGATCGAACGCCATAGTAGAGCAGTACCTGAGGTGCTACGTGAACTATCAGCAGTCCAATTGGGCAGAGCTCCTGCCTTTTGCTGAGGTCGCGTACAATATTGCCATTCACAGTAGCCCGGGACTCGCGCCGTTCAAAGTAGACAGCAGCATGGACTTCATCCCAATGCCTGAGTATCCAAGAGATCCCAACTCATAACTGAGGTAACATCATTACTGCTAAAAGGGAGTGGGGTTTAAGGAGAGGAGGAGGACTGTGGGGTCACTTGATGCTCTCTGAGCTCGGTTGTTTTCTTTCAGATGTTTCATCACCCAACTAGGTAACGTCATCAGTGCTAGAAGTAAATGAGATTTGCTCTTATATACGTACAAACCCAGTCCCTTCCAGCACTGATGACATTATCTACTTGGGCAATGAAACGATAATGAAACAGGAAGGCCTGGAGGAATGTTGTCCATGGGGTCGCGATGGGTCGGACACGATTTCACAACTAACAACAACAATTGGAAACACATTTTCCCCAAAGCTACTGCAAATCCCCCCCCTAATCTACTTTTTTTTAAAATAAATTTTATTTCTCATATATACATTCACAATTATATGATCTCATA